TTAAGGAAACTTGTTATTGAAAACCAATATCTAAGGGCCAGCCAAAGAGCTCCTCGGACTAAAGTGCCTGCTTATGGCTGGGTTCGATCCCCGGCTTGCCGTGCCAGCCACCCCAGGAGTGCACTGAGAGGGCTATTGAGACTGGGCGTGGTGGCATGCACCTGTAATCCCAGCACTTGGAAGGCTGAAAACAGGAGAATCACTAGGAGTCCGATCTACAGAGCGAGACCCTGCAGACCCTGCACTCCATAGACCCTGTACTAAATGTAAGGAAAATAAAAGAAAAAAAGAAAACCAATATCTAAAGCAAATCATTCCACAAAGCAAACTCTTTTCTTTGGTCAAAGGACGCTGCTTGGTTAGAGATGCAGGTGTACTGCTCCCCAGGGCAGAGGCGACCCTGTCACTGAGTGTCCCCTTGCTTGTCCCCTCCAGGGCCTGGCAGGAGGCACCACGCAGGGCAAGCGAGGGGGCTAGCTGTGTTTGGGCAAAGCAGATCGTGTCTGGATTTCTTCCTTCAAAAGATGCACCAAAACCGGAATTCAGCCTCCATGAGCAACGAGTGTGCTGTGCCCCTGCTGCGTGGGCACGCCGGGAGTGCAGCGCGCAAAGCGTTTTGGGGGGCTGTGACCCCAAGGGACACGCTGGCTCCCGGCCCCGGGCAGGAAGGGATCATCCGGAAAGAAAGCGCCATGGGGCGGAATTATGAGTCATTGTTTTATTTTACTTAATTGCTCTGGCTGTAAATTTTTCAAAACTAATATAAGCATATTTTACAGCTCACAGAACATTTAGAACAAATGAAAATAAATATCTTTCCACTGTAATGTGTCTAAATTGATATTTATGAATTCCAAAGCTGCCCTTCTGGAGAGGAGGGAACTGGCACTCCCGCTTCTGTAGATTAATCAGGTGGCTTGTGCTGTTTTTCTCCTGATCAAAGAGAAATCGCCTCGGTAAATGTTACCTAGGAGCTGGGATTCTTCCAGATTCTAGAAGCTCAGGCACGGCAGATATGCAGGCCTGCATTGCCCCCTAGCGGCGCGCGGCAGCCACGCACGCAGCGCGCGCTCCCCCAAGCCCGGCGGCAAAACCCAGAAAACGCCTTCTGAGGACACAAACAGGGGCCTGGCGTGGGTACCCTCCTCGGAAACGCAGCTACGTCCGCGGCAGGGAAGGAGGGGAAGGGGGCAAGCCTGGGTGCGTGCGATTATCCCGCTGCACACACTCGTTCGGGCACGCCTGCACACGGCAGGATGAGGTAGGAGGACCACCCTGAGTTGTGACCCGTCTCAAAAAAAAATCCACAAACCGGGGAGGCTCCCAACTGAACTCTTGTGGTCCACGCTACCCAAACCTATTTGCCAAAAAACCCAAGCCCAGGACACTACACGACCTCGAAGGACGGAGGACTGGCCCAATAGCTCCTGAGAGCATCGGTTTTCAGAGACCCAGGAAAGTTAGAGGCTGCTGCCTCCAGCTACGGAGGCAGATGAGCTCTGCCCGCACGCACGGTGCCCTCCAGGCCACCTCCCGGGCCGGCCGCGAGCTGACCGGGCCCACGGCGCCCCCTGCTGGCCCCGGGGTCACTGCCGCCGGCCTGGTCAGTCCCCGCGGGCCTGGATGCTAGCCGGCACCCCGAAGCCGCGCACCCCTCACAGCTGCTTTCTAGGGGCACCACCTGTCCAGGCTCAGCTCCTCACCCGCCTGCCTCCAGGTTCCGAAAAGGCAACAGCACCCTCGCATGGCGAGAAACACCAGGCAGAGCAGCCACCAAGCACGCCCGGGCCAGGGCTGCGCACGGGTTAGGGCCCACCCGACGCAGGAGACCCAGGGAGCTGGAGGCTGGGGCCAAAGCCCGCGGAGATGCCCCCGGGTGACTAGATGACCTCGGGGGAGGGGATGACCGCAAGAGACACGCCAGGGACAGGGCCGTCCTCGGCCTCCGGGGCCCCAGGGCTGTCCAGGCCATCAGCAGCCCCATCGCAGACTTCAGGCCAGCACTCCTAGCCAGGCCAGAAGGAGAGATCCAGCCAGGAGAGAGCAAGGGGCAAGTCCAGGAGTCTCCAGCACAGGGAAGTCTTGCTCCACCAAACCCCATGGGCACGGGGGTCAACCCAGACCCGCAGAGGTGGGCGCAGCCAATGGTACAGCTGCACTGCACAGCGGCCCATGCAGCGGAGCAGCACCCTAGGTACCAGGAAGGTGTGCAGGTGACACGACTGAGCACTCAACAGCTGAACAAAAGGCAGATCCCCCAAATTAAAGACCCATCAAAACCCAGGCACCTGGCTGTGCCCGAGAGGGCTATTGAGCCTGGGCGTGGTGGCGCGCACCTGTAGTTCCTGTACCTGGGAGGCTGTAAACAGGCAGATCACTACAAGTCTGATCTAGTAGTGAGACCCTGAACACCCTGCAGATCATTCTCTGAAATAAAAAAATAATAATAAAAAATTTTTTAAAACAGATGAATGGATAAACTGGTATTTATATACCATGGAGAACTACCGTGTCATAAAAAAGGATAAACTTGAGTTACCTGTAAGAAAATGGGTACATTGTGAAGCCATAACGTTAAAAAAAAAATGAATCAAAGAAGAATATATGCAGTGTATTATTTGTTGAAACTGTCCTTCCGATTTGATTTGAAACTGTCTCATTGCTATCTCTTTGTCAATAAAACTTTGGAAAAAAAAATGAATCAGGCAGGCAAGCATAATTATCACATGATTTCCTAACATGAGAAACACAAAACACAAAATTAATAAAAGATAAGCATGGCAACCTATTTGGGACCCCTCCTGTCTCTCAGGAGCTGTTCCTGTTCCTTATTCCTATTCCCCAGTAAAATTTTCTACTGTAAGAACATTAAACAAAAGGTAGATAATAGGGGGCTGGTGAGATGGCTCAGTGGTCTAAAGCACCTACTTAGAACAAGCTTAGCAAAGCACAGGGAC